TGCGTAAAAGCGCAGTGCGCCTCTGCTGAAAAGAGAAGTGTTGAAAGTGGAAGGAAGCACGCCCAGTTAATAGAAAAATCCGATTTTAATTTTAGGATTTAACATCATTAATATTTTCCCTCAGCTGTTTTCTTCACTTTCTGCCATCTTCTCAAGTCTGTACAGTTTAGTGTGACAGCAGAACCTGAACAAAATCTAAACAGTGACAGCACTCAGCGAACGAGAAAGCGTTTGTTTAACCTTCAGTAAGTTGTTACACACCGAAGGACGACAATGTTCATCCAGGTGCACACTGAGGTTTATTAATCTGAAACATACCTGAATAATAGTTCTGCGTTACTGTTGACTTCCATTACCACGACAGACCTGTGTTACTTTTGTAAGGGATGACTTTGCCAGTCTTTTATTTGTGTGATCTGCCACCTACTGGAGAAACTCAATATCGCCTTAGAGCCACGTCAGGTGAGAGCAAATGAGCTTTTTCATCTGTACTATGATGTCAAAGGATACACACTGTATGACTTTAATAAAGACAGAATATTTTAATTCGATGTGTTTCTATCTAATTTGAACTTTGCATCAGCTGAGCACAGGTCCACTGATCCCTGCAAAACACACACAACTTCCTACAAGTCCTAATGACAGAACAACAAAGGCGACATCCAGTGTCAGCTCTGGGAAGTTACTTTCTCATGTTTCTGGCATCCGTTAAATTATCACCCACCAAAATATGAAAATATGACTTCTTCTACTCTAACAAAAACCACCAGATTGTTATATAATAACAAAAATTTGATTCATTCTTATTTCTGATGCTAGTCTGAACAAAGTGATGGTCATAATACAACTGTGAAAATGTCCCACTCTGTGCTACCACTGTGGAAACAATATGAGTTTAATGTTGACAGTGTTGCTGTAAGACAGGTCTGTTCTACAGTACTTTGGATAAGTTGGAGAGATCTTCTCAAATTTGAGCTCTAATCACTAGACCACAATCACATGTTTCCAAATCTGTTAACAGAAACTCCAAACGACCACATCACTCTGAGTCTGAGATACGAGAGCAGCTTTAATGTACGGAACAAACAGAATGTAAGAACTATTAAGACTTTTAATTTGTTCATAGTTCATAGTGTAAATGATTCAAAGAGTCAAAGAAAGACTCTGCAAACAAAGATTAACAGTAGTGATCCAGTTTAAAATATTGACCCACAATAAACATATTCAACTGTCTTTCCTAACCCCAACCCTCACTCTGAGCATCATCTAGCTCAGCTCACTGCTCAAGACAATAATTTAAATTGTTGACTACTTGTAGTATCAGGGATTTCCCAGACAGCGGTGATGAAAGCAACACATCTGGCATTATGAAAAGGGAAAATTAAATGCAGGCAGTAATGACGTCGGCAGTAATGACACCCGGTTACGCCAATCGGAGGTCACTAAAATCAATATTGAATCTGTGTGGAACTTTGCCAAAACAGTGTCAGACTCTGTAGTTTTCTCTGGTCCCCAGTCAGACCAGGAGTGACATGTTTAGCCGCATGTTCTCCTTAAATTGTTGGCTTTCTGAGTGGTGAAGAAACTGTGAGCCAGGAGGGAGGGGGTGAGTGAGTGAGTCCTGAGAAATTTTTTTGTTAAGATACTGGATGTTGTTTTCTCCACAATTTTAATTATAAGATAGATACATTGCTGCTAACAGCAACAGGGATGAGTCCGTGAGTCGGTTGGGCTTGTGAATCATGATTCATGAGTCAGTAAAGTGATTCTCGAGTATTGAACGATTCGTTCATGATTCGCGTATCACTAGCTAGGACCAATTCTGTTTACATTATACATGCTTCCCTTAGGCAGCATCATTAGAAGACATAGCATACATTTTCACTGCTATGCAGATGACACCCAGCTCTATCTGTCCATGAAGCCAGATAACACACACCAATTAGTTAAACTGCAGGAATGTCTTAAAGACATAAAGACCTGGATGGCCGCTAACTTTCTGCTTCTTAATTCAGATAAAACTGAGGTTATTGTACTCGGCCCTGAAAAGCCTAGAAATATGGTATCTAACCAGATTCTTACTCTGGATGGCATTACCTTGGCCTCCAGTAACGCTGTGAGGAACCTTGGAGTCATTTTTGACCAGGACATGTCCTTCAACGCACATATTAAACAAATATGTAAGACTGCTTTCTTCCATTTGTGCAACATCTCTAAAGTTAGAAATATCCTGTCTCAGAGTGACGCTGAAAAACTAGTTCATGCATTTATTACTTCCAGGCTGGACGACTGTAATTCATTATTATCAGGATGTCCAAAAAACTCACTGAAAAGCCTTCAGCTAATCCAAAACGCTGCAGCAAGAGTACTGACAGGGACTAGAAAGAGAGAGCATATTTCTCCTGTTTTGGCTTCCCTTCATTGGCTTCCTGTTAAATCCAGAATTGAATTCAAAATCCTGCTCCTCACATACAAGGTCTTAAATAATCAGGCCCCATCTTATCTTAATGACCTTGTAGTACCATATCACCCTATTAGAGCACTTCGCTCTCGCTCTGCAGGCCTACTTGTTGTTCCTAGAGTATTTAAAAGTAGAATGGGAGGCAGAGCCTTCAGTTTTCAGGCCCCTCTTCTGTGGAACCAGCTTCCAGTTTGGATTCGGGAGACAGACACTATCTCTACTTTCAAGATTAGGCTTAAAACTTTCCTTTTTGCTAAAGCATATAGTTAGGGCTGGACCAGGTGACCCTGAATCCTCCCTTAGTTATGCTGCAATAGACGTAGGCTGCTGGGGGATTCCCATGATGCATTGAGTTTTTCCTTTCCAGTCACCTTTCTCACTCACTATGTGTTAATAGACCTCTCTGCATTGAATCATATCTGTTATTAACCTCTGTCTCTCTTCCACAGCATGTCTTTTATCCTGTCTTCCTTCTCTCATCCCAACCGGTCGCAGCAGATCCCCCAGCAGCCCCCAGACGTAGGCTGCTGGGGGATTCCCATGATGCATTGAGTTTTTCTTTTCCAGTCACCTTTCTCACTCACTATATTATAATAGACCTCTCTGGATTGAATCGTACCTGTTATTAATCTCTGTCTCTCTTCCACAGCATGTCTATATCCTGTTTTCCTTCTCTTACCCCAACTGGTCACAGCAGATGGCCCCATCCCTCCCTGAGCCTGGTTCTGCCAGTTTTGTGATTTTTAATTTATGATGATTATTTTATTAACACAAATCCTGTGAGGTGTAAAACTTCCTAATTTATTTTTGCCACCAGGGGTCACTGTTGGCTTCAATACAACATTTAGCATGAAATAAAAGTTTTGTTTTGCTCTCTTTATGAAGAAGAACCAAAGCATCTGAAAATGTAAACTACGAAGAAAAATAGTTTCAATTCCTAAATAACTTCGTAATAATTTTGTTAAACTTCATGAACTGAAGCAAAAATTGTTTCTTTATCCAAATACTTATGGACCCAGATGTCTCATTTTTACATCTGAAACCACCCCCCCCCCCCCATCCGATTTAAAACCTGTTACACTAAACATGGAAAAGACAAAGGATACAACAGATAAAATATTTTTTTATTTGTGTCCTGATAATATGACTTCAGCTAAAACACATTTGCAATATGATTAACATCGTAAAGACAGAAAGAAAAAATAAAACAAAGCAAACTCTGCAGGAAGCTTTATAATGCCTATTTTGAGACAAACTTCTTCCTAAGAATACTCAGGCCAGTCAGTGGTCAGAGCTTATTCATCTCAATGGTGAGTCTCTTCTGCCAGAAATAGATGATCACCAACACTGAAAGACAAACAGTAACTCACTTAAACTGAAACACCATCCATAAAGTGGAGAAGAAAGATTTTCTATTATTTCTGCTGAAATCAAAGTGGAAAGTGGTGTAAAACCATCATTTTGCCTAAGATTGTCTAATAATCCGTAAATGTAGAAAAGAAACATTTCTGTCACTTACCTGCAATAACACAGGGTATCAGCATGAAACGTAATATCTGCAGGGCTTCGTGTAACTGGGACTCAAGCCCAAGACTTACTGTCCTGTCACCATAATTTATCTACAAAATAAAGAGAAACATTTTACAGAGAGAGTTCTCACCAGAGCAACAGGCCAAAAATTGTTATTGTATGCATAAATATCATTTTGAAGTTTGAAAGGCAACTGTTTGTTACCAATACAGATGAAAAAGTCTGTTTGCCCTCAGTTTCAGGTTTCTCCTCTAGAAAACATCAAACTGAGAACTTTGATGTTGTCATCTCCACAAAGAAAGGACGTTTTCTAAAGAACACCTCACCATACATTTCAATTCAATTTTATTTATAAAGCACCAAATCACAACAACAGTCGCCTCAAGGCGCTTTATATACATCAACAAGTTCGGTTTGTTTTTTTCCGGTGATACTTATCTAGCTGGGGGTAGCATGAAAGAAAGATTTACCAGCAACTCCTCAAATTCAGGGTTGGTTAGTCTTTTAATCTCACAGATGAAAGAGTCAGAGTTGTTACTGGTTTCTTTGGCTTTCATGATGCACTGGTATTCCGTATTGTCTTGAACGCCCCACACTGATAACTCATCTATCATCATCTCCAGCTTGTCTGTCTTTTTCTAAATGAAGAAAAACAAAGGCTAGCTGTCACATGTTTGTATATGTATGAAAATTAAAAAAAAAAAAAAACTAACCTGAATGGTGATGCGCACATCTTCCCCTGTCCTTATAACTGTGAAGCTGGTAAACTCAGGGTCTGGATAGTAGGGGAGTTTAATGGAGCAGGCCAAGGTTTCATTGGCTACTTTGACAAACATAGTGCTGCTAGAAATGCTCCCAGCTGCAGGTGAATTGTAGGTGAGATACTGCAATGAAATTAAATAAACAGAAAAGACAGCATGACATGACTAAAGCAGGACATAAGATTATGACTTGCGTGTGTCAGATGTCCACATCCGAAATGTTCAGAGCTCATGTATGAAAACATCTTGATGTCATTTCAAAGGCACATTGTTTGTGTCTACAGACCAACCTCAGAGCTGATGTTTCTGGGAAGTCTGACATCCTGCATTGCGTGGCTGTGGAAGACCCCTTCAACAAAGTTAAGGTGAGACCCCATGAGTGTGATCTTCCTCTTCCCACTGCAGGACAGGAAGCGGGCTTTAGTCAGAGCAGAGGGACTGCAAGGAAAAAAATCATCTGATCCCACACTCCTTTCAAACAGTTAGCATAACCCACATTTTTGTCAATTCTCAAAGGTGTGAATTATTCAAACTGTGTTTTAAACATGATTTGATAGAGTAGTGAGAGATGTCCAAAAACATTTCCTCCAGATTTAACAGTTTTCATTTAATAAAGATCTTTTTATGTTTAGATGTTACTGTTGTTTTCAGCTTGATTAAAAGCTCACTAATAGGAGTTATTGCTATCTGGGACTGATCCAACATGAAAGCATAAGCAAGGTCTGGATGAGAATGAAGGTGCGCTCATTCACATACGTGCACAGGTAGGGGAAGGAGTTGTAGGAGGTAAAGAAGATGCCAGTTTTATACTAGTAAAAATATTTCACTGGAAAATTAAGAGCTCTCCACACGTAGGCTGCAGTCTGAACACTGAATCATTATTTTAGCATAGATAATATGCCTGTAAACTAAAGTGTGTGATGGACTCAGAAGCTAAAAAGTACCCCACGTATTCATTCTGCAGACAGCAGAGCAAAAAAAAAAAGAAAAAAGGCTGGTGACTGAGGCTGCAGAGCTCAGAGGTGTGGACTCCAACAGGAAGTAGTCGGGTGACAGATACTGCTTTCTCAACCATGAGGTTCAGTAAAAGCGGCAGAGGTCAAACCAATGCAAAAGCTTCCTTCCTCTTATGATAAATATCTCTGTACTCTCACAGCAGGATGTAGCAGCACGTGATACTGCACACAAAAGACACACACACATGTACTGTTTCTTTGGTCAAAACACTTTCTGAGACATTAGCAGATAAACGTTCTGTATCTTCTGTGTTTTTTAGGTTTCAGCAAAACTGAACATACCTGATCCAGCTGCTGCTTGGAGTAATATTGGTGCATGATGGTAATGAGCTGTAGGTGATTTTAGCTTTGCCATGGCAACGACCATCTGGGAGGAGAAGACATACGTTGACCACGCCTTTGATATTTGAACTGGGAATGTGGAACGTCAGACTGAAACCAGTGTTGTCCCAAATGGAAGATCTGACCAGAACACAAAGAGAGAAACAGAGTCACTAACATCATCACAACATGCAGAAAACCCCAAGAAAGACTAAAGCTGAGCAGCAAGGTCTTCCTTAAAATTATCAAATTGTGTGTTTTTATGAGTTTAACACGTCTTTGATTTCATTTGGATTACAAAGTAAACAGTAAATCCAGATTTAACCCTTTCACACACAGTGGCCACTACAGTGGACAGCTAGTCAAAGGCTGTTTTTTTTTTTGTATTTGTTTCAGTGTTTATGGTATACTTGCACATAAACACAACAGACAGTGCATATTATTTATTTGTTTGTCAAATTCATGAATCAAAATGTATGTTGTCCACCTAAGTGGACATGTAAAGAACTCTTTGAAAAGTACATGTTTAGAAAAATGAAGTTCAAAAGTCTTTTTTTCCATGTCTAATGATGAATAAAAATACTTAAGAAAAAAATCCTAATTGTGGTTGTCATAATTCATGCAAAAAACGGGTCAATGATTGATTTTGTAATCGTATCACCAGACCTGAGGCCATATGTTTTGGACACTCGGGTAAAGAGAGGGGCTGAGCTGTCAACTGATCACCACCTGGTGGTGAGTTGGATCAGGTTGTGAGGGAGGACGCTGGACAGACCTGGTGCACCCAAACGTACAGTGAGGGTGTGCTGGGACCGTCTAGCAGAGGCCCTGGTCCGCAAGATCTTCAACACACACCTCCAGCAGAGCTTCAACAGCATTCCACGGGAGACTGGAGACATTGAGTCCGCACATTCTGCAAGATTTACAGTTAAGCCAAACGACAACCACACCTGGCAGAGCTTCAACAGCATTCCATGGGAGACTGGAGACATTGAGTCCGAATGGACCATGTTCAGCACCTCCATTGCCGAAGACACTGCATGGAGCTGCGGCCGCAAGGTAGTTGGTACCTGTCGTGGTGGTAACCCCCGAACCAAATGGTGGACACCTGAGGTGAGGGGAGCCACCAAGCTGAAGAAGGAGTCCTACCGGGCTTGGTTAGCCTGTGGGATTCCGGAGGCAGCTGATAGGTACCGACAGGCCAAGCGAAATGCGGCGCGGGCGGTGGCGGAAGCAAAAATTCGGGTGTGGGAGGAGCGGTGTTCTACCTGCACTGTGTATAGTGGAGTGCTGCTGACTGCGACTGAGAAAATCGTCAGGTGGTGGTGGAAGGAATACTTTGAGGACCTCCTCATGTCATGGTCCTGAGTCTGCCGACTCAGTGTTTTGTGTTTCTTTATGCTTTTGTTTATTCTGAGTATGTATTCTGTTATAATTTGCCATTTGTTAAGGTTATGTTCTGTGCCTGCCTGCTCCCACTTCTCTGTGTTCCCTCCGTCTGTCCATGGTGTCACACTGTCTTTCTTGTGAATCTGTCTGTTTAGTTCAGTGTCTTGTCTGGTTCTGTGTCTGTGAGTTTCCTGTTTTATTCTGAAGGTCTCTGTCTCATGCGAGTGTGTTCAGTTTACATTTCCCCTGTCCTGTCAGCTTTGATTTCTCCCAGGTGTGTTCCCCTCCTGTTGCTCATCCCTTGATTGCTGCTATGTGTATTCAAACCCTGTGTGTTCTCCGGCCTGTTGCTGGTTTGTCTGTGTTCCACGGTGTCCTGTTCCTCGTCTGCGACGCTCTGCCGCTCACCCCGTTCTGGTATCATCTCAGGTTTGTTATTTAGCTTTCCCAATTTAGGTTTCTTTAGTTTTGTCATCCCTCATTGCCTGTTTTGCCACTATACCACCGTGTAAATAAACATCACTAGCATTATCATCGACTGCCTGCATTTTGGGTCCTTTTTCCCCCAACACCACACTGCTCACCTCGGCAGCCGTGACAGTACGAACCGGCCAAACATGGACCCAGCAGCATTCACACCTTCCAAGGAGCTTCGGGAGGAATTAATTGATTCAGTCTCAAGATGGACTAATCTGTGGCTAGAGCATGAGGGGGAGGAATTTCGTCATGGTCTGGAGGCCCGACTACAGCGGCTAGTTTCCAATCACCCCTGGCTGCTGGATTCCCTTCACCCACTCCTACAGGACTTCATCCTCAAAACACTTCACCTTCATCCCCCAAATGTGACAGCTGGCCTGCCCGGCTTACCACAAGATTCTCTCCCCAGTCCACCAGATAGTGATGGGTCGTTCGCGAACGAAATGGCTCTTAGAGCCGACTCTTTGACGTGAACGACGCGAGCCGGCTCCTTATCGCGACCGTCGCATTTTTTTTATTTTTTTTTCCCCCCCCCCTCTTTCTCTCACACTCTCTCTCGCACTTTTTTCCGCTTCACTCTGCACGCGAGTCTTGTGCTTTATGCTGGGCAGAGGGGGGAGGGGTGGTAGTTACACTCAATAGTGCAGGAACAGAGCGGGAGGGAGAGACAGAGAAAGAGAGCCAGGGATAACAACATCACATTAGAAAGGTATAGTAATCATCCACAACTATTTTCAGTTGCAGATGATAAAGGATTCAGAAAGTTTATTCATGCAGGCCCATATGACAGAGAATATGCATCTTCTTTTTGTTTTCATATTATAATTTATATTTAATTGTGTTGTGGTTTGCAGTGTTTTGTGTTGTTTCACTTTAAATTTGTAAAAGGAAAATTTAAATAGTTAAAAGTTGAAATGTGAATAGTTGATTTTTGTATTATATGATTTATTTATTACATTTTATGTGGAGTGAATAAATAAAAGTATATTTACGGTGGCCCCTAGAGACAAAGCACGAACAAACTCAAAACACGTACAACCCTGAAGCAGTACAAACTCAACCGTCAACGGAACACGTAAAAATCAACACACAAACCTAAGCAGTAAAAACCCAAAACACGTACAACCCGAAGCACGTAAATCCAAAACACGTCACCTGAGCACGAACAAAACACGTACGAACTGAGCACAACAAACCAAGCACGTACAACTCAACAACTCTGAAGCCGTAAAAACACGCGATCCAGCAACTACACGTACAAACTCCAAAACACGTCAACTGAAAGCAAACCAATCAACTCAACACCTACAAACCTGAAGCACGTACAAACTCCAAAACACGTACAAAAACTAAAACTCCAAAACACGTAAAAAAACTCAGAAGCACATAAAAACTCAAAACACGTACAAAACGACAACAGAAGTGCTCCTAGGATGCTGGGCGCAGTGTTGAGCTTTTGTTACCTAGTGGCTACACAAGCCAGCAAGTACCAACGACCGGATTTGGTGTGTGGTAGTAACAGGTAAATGAACTTTTTTTTTTATTTGAATATATATGAGTGCCTGTGTATAAATACACAAACAATACACACATGCTTTCAATTGTGTAATTTAAGTGATCTAGTAGCTCTGCTTTGGAAGTTCAGTTCATGCTAGAAATGTGTTTTATATTTATATATAAACATATATAAATAAAACCACTTTTTTTACATTAGTAATTCCTTTTGTGCACAATTTTATATTATTGTTAATAATAAATTAATTAAAGCAACAAAACAACCTGAAGAGCCGGTTCGGAGCCGAAAGAGCCGGCTCTTTTTAGTGAGCTGAACCGAAAGAGCCGGATCTCTAAAAAGAGCCGGAAATCCCATCACTAGTCGCCCCTTCTCCCAGGCGGAAGTGACGTCCACACTGCCGTCAGTTACCGGCAGATTCAGTGAGTCAAGAACAGTGTTTTTGTTTTTTTTTGTTTTTTTCTGCTCCATCTGAGCCTGCATTCACGAACACTGTCAGTTATTCCTGAGTCTAGAAATTCAATGCCAGTTAACTCAGGTTTATTCAAATTTGAAAAGATTAATTTAGAAACAGTTAATACTTTGTCAAACATTTCAAAGTCTGTTAACACCCGCTCTGAGGATTTAAAGGACTACTTTCATTTTGCTTCTTCCGAGTCCAGTGTTATGCTAACCAGGACTTTTAGTCCGAAATCTGAAAATGAGAAGGACTATCTACTGACTGCTCAGTCAGAGCGTGGAACTCTTCCCACAAAGACTGGTTCTTCAATGTCTGCAGCTCAGTTAGCCGCCCGGCCAGAAGCTCAGTCTCCAACTCCACCACCGTTGTCATCCCAACCATTATTTCAGTCGCCCTCAGTTCAGCCTCATGTTCAGCAGCCACTAGCCCTGCGTCACTTGCTCCTCCTGTACAACAATTCAAGTCAATTCAACCTGAAGTGAATTGTTTTTCATCCATCCATTCTAAGCAGAGAGACAAACCCATTAAAACTTATCATTCCTCAAAAGCTGTCCAGTTCTGAGACTATGATGCACTCCAGGGCCTCCCCAGAGGCTGGGGTTCAGCCCCAGCAGACTCTGGACTCCTGGAGGTTAAGAAGCCAGCTGAGGACTGCACCTGGCTGTCGCTGCCTGAGCAGAGTCAATGCTCTGCGCAGCTGCAGTCTGCTATGTGTTTGCCAGAGGCCACCGTGTCTGCTGGTTCAGCCCTGCATGTGCCAGGGGCCCCTGTGCCCACTGGTTTTGGGACTGTTTTTGCTGAGTGGCCCGAGGAGCCCGTCCAGCAACCTGCCTCGTCAGCTGGGGGGCCCGAGGAGCCCGTCCAGCC